ATTTGGGTTTTTGTTTTTAAACATCTTTCTCTCTACAGTCCATTTTAATTCCTTTATGTTATTTTTATGATTTTATAGTCATGGACTTTTGTAATTGTCTTAATTGACACCCTTTAAACTTTCTATTATATCTTAAATCTTTTGTATTAGCCATTATATATTAATCCCCTACTGTGAACAATTATTCTTACAATTAAATGGAGTTAATGCTCAAATTGGTTATTTGACATTGTTTTTCCGGTCATTTCTCCATAGTTGTACTTCACTATCCAGTAAATTCCTGGAGAAGGATGTTTATATTGTAGTCTTGGGGCTTGGGGTTTGTATGGTTCGTTAGACTTTTGGGTTTTTGTTTGTTTGCATTTTTTTTTTAATATTTATTTTTTAGTTATCAGTGGATACAACATCTTTGCTTGTATGTGGTGCTGAGGATCGAACCCGGGCCGCACGCATGCCAGGCGAGCACGCTACCGCTTGAGCCACATCCCCAGCCCCTTGTTTGCATTTTTAAAACTGTGTCCTTTGTACTGGAATGATAGTTTAGGTAGATATAAAATTCTGAGCTCACACTTGAGCATTGTAGTACTTGACTTTCATTTTTTTAAATTTATTTTTTACTTATAGGTGGACACAATGTCTTTATTTTACTTTATGTGGAGCTGAGGATCGAACCCAGTGCCGCCTCATGCATGCTAGGTGAGCTCTTTGAGCCACAACCCCAGCTCTCCACTTTAGTTTATATATGTATGTGTGTGTGTGTGTGTGTGTGTGGGTGGGTGGAGATATATATATATATATATATATTTATATTTATTTAAGTTGTTGATAGACCTTTATTTATTTATTTATATGTGGTGCTGAGGATCGAAACTAGTGCCTCATACTTGCTAGGCAAGGGCGCTACCGCTGAGCCCCAGCCCCAGCCCTTCATTTTTTTTTTTAATTTAATTTTTTTTTAATTAGCTACACATGACATGACAATGATCTTGGCAATTCAAACATTTGAATCATTGGGGTATAATTTCTCATTTTTCTAATTGTACAGATTGCAGAATCACACTGGTCATAGAGTCACCTTTCATTTTTAATTATACTTTTCCATAGAGAAATTTGGGTTTTTTCCCTTTTATAAATAACTTGATCTTTTTGCCTGACTCGTAAAAGATTCTTTCTTTTTTTAAATAATAATTTTACTACAGTATGTTTTCATTGATAATTCCTAATTTATTTGCCCTTTCAATATTTTAAAATTATCTTAGTAAATATTTGTTCTTTTCCATTATCTCAGTTTTTGGTTAGGACTTTGATTATATATATGTGTGGTATTTCTCGTCTTTTCTAACCTATTTGTCATTATCTTTGTGGTTCTTTTTAAATCTTCCATAAATTTTATTTAATTTATTTGGAGTTTTAAAAAATTTCTTCTCTTTATTTATTTTGAGGCCAAAAATTTCATCACCTTTTCTTTGGTGGTTTTGTTTCCTTCCATTACTTTTCTGAGCTTTAAAAATAAAAAATAAAAATAAATAAACATTTTTCTCTCTTCTTTTGGTCTTGGCATTTCAGCCCTTAGCTCTTTTTTTTTTTTTTAAGTTTATTTATGCTGAGGATCGAACGTAGTGCCTCACATGTGCTGGGTGAGCGCTCCACCACTGAGCCCCAGCCCTTAGCTCTGTGTTTGTGTACCCCTGTATAGAAGTAGCTGCTTCATTACATATTAAAGATTCACGGTGAAATGCACATTCACAATTTTTTCTTTTTTTTTTTATGGTGAATGATCCTTTATTATTCGGTAAATGTTCAGTGAGTTCCTGCTGTTGCCCATCACTCTACCCTGGTGGGGTTTATGCCAGGGGACAAGTACTTATGCAGTATTTTAGAAGGTGATAAGAGCAACGTTAGGGGAGGAGAGAAGTGAGTGTTGGCGAGGGGTGGTGCAGTTTTAAATGGGGGCAGGGAGTCAGGCTTCTCTGAAATGTTGTCATTTGACAGTGACTTGGGGATAAGGTAGCACACCAGGTAGGTGTCTGAGGAAGAGCATCCAGGTGGAAGGGGGAGCGCATGTGGGGCACGAGGATGTGACTGAAGCCTTTGCAAAGGGCCATTGAGGAGCTGAGGATCTCAGAGGGCTACGTGAGGAGAGAGCCAGACAGGCCTCAGGTGGAATTTGGCTTTTACCCTGAGTGGGAGGCTCATTCCTTAGAGTTCTTTTAAGTACCAGGAGACATGATCTGTCTTTTCTGCAGTCATCATCTGCCACTTGAATTTCTCTCCTCCTCCTCTCTCTCCCACATTCCCCCCTTTTATTTTTTTTTAATCCACTCTATGTCATGTGTCCCTGTGCTGGTTTTTTGTTTGTTTGTTTGGATTTTTTTTTGTGTGTGTGTGGGGGGACTGGTATGGAACCCAGGGCCTGGCTCATGCTAGGCAAGTACTCTCCCACTGAGCTACGTCCCCAGCCCTGATTGTTTTTAGTGTCTCCTTCTTGTACCAGGTGAATTCACTGCTTGGCCAGGCTGGCTGGGAGCATCCTAGCAGGCTGAGGTTGGCTTTCTTCAGCCCATAAGATGGCCAACTGGAGAGGCGTCACCATGCTCCACACCCACTGAACGCAGCCTGGAGTGCGGCTCAGCTGCTCCCAGAGGCGTCTCGCTTCCAGAAGCAGATTTGCTTCTTTTTCTAGTTCCTGCCCTGCTTGCCTCTCACCTCCTGTAGCAGACCTGCCACCTGTCTCGTGGAGTTGAACTGTCTCTAGCTCTGCCCCAATGGAGCTGGTGGTTGCTTCTTATTCTTTTGGATGGTTTCCAGGAAGCCAAGCGGGGAATGCTGACTTGATGCCTCGTTTTCAGACCTGAAATCCTAGTATGTTTTTGACATTTAATTCCACAGAACAAAAAGGAAAAAATGTTACAGTTTGGCAGTGGCCTCTTACAGGGAGAGAAGACAAAACTGGAAAATGTAGTCACTTTTACTACCCTTCAGACAAACTTGGTAGCAGTTTTCTGCCAGATAGCCAGTGATGCTGAGATGGGGGGTGACAGGTGTGCTCTGTGCCCAGGGTGAACTGTTGGTCTCTGGTAGAAGGTGGACTCACAGACACCTTTCTCTCCAACCTTGCCCCACACCTAGCAAGGGGCAGAGAATGGAGCTTCCCTGCTGGAGGCTGGGCTGGGTGGTAATCTTGGCCCAGAGGACAGGACCATCTCTTCCTAATGCTGACGGGTCCCAGGTGTCGGCAGTGCCTGCTTTGACAAACAGCATAGGGGTGAGATGTGCAGTCTGGAGCTCGGGCCACCCCTCAGTGTCTTCTAGAGCACACAGTGTGGGGCCTGCCTTCCTCCTCAACAGGACTTCTGATGGCCTCACCTTTCTTAGGACAGAAATGTGCTACATGTCAATGTGCTACATGTCAAAAGCCATGGCTCTTCCCCCCAAGCTGCCATGCACCTGTGGAGATTTCTGTCTCTCATTTCCAGGTTCCTCGGTGTCCTTAAGTCTGTGAGTGCCCCCTCCTGGAGTCCTGGCCCCAGCTGAAGGCCCTGCCTGTTGTGTTGGGTGAGGTGTTGGTACTTTCCCGACCCTTATATCTTATTCTCTTCTTGTTGAGTCTAGACAAAGGTTAGGGGGAAGTTCTTGGTAAGGTCTTGGGGTTTTGTTAATTTTAGTCATCCACGTTCATCCTGCCCTCCTTTGCCAGAATAAGAATTGTCCTTTTTCACAAACATAGGTCCTAACTCTGTCAAATCATCTTCTGCTTCTAAACTCCTTGGGCTACGCTTAGATTCATCCTATATTCTTTTTTTGTTGGTATGGACTCACTAGACCTGTATATTGTGAAAATGCCTATCAACAAATATATTATTAAATTTTTTATTTTCTCCACTATATTGTTTCTTAATTAACTCAAAAAATAACAAGATCATGAAATATTTACCCTGCTCGCTCCCAACGTGCTCCAGTGCTTTGTCCTTCGAACGCCCCAGGGTGGCTGTGTGGATGCCACAGTTATAATCAGCCTCTCAGCAGTCCACCTGAGATCTGTTCCCAGGAGAATAACTGAAAATGTTGTGCTACCTGGGAACAAATCTATCTGCTAGTGTTGTATTCATTCATAATAATTGGGACATACTAGTTAAGTTATTGGAAAATGTACTAGTGGATTTAAATTTTTAAAAAATTTAAATTTCTTTTTGAGTTGTACAAAAAGTTAATAGAATTAATTTTATTTAAATTTAGAAGCTATTTCAGACGAATTCTCATCTGCTGCTTATGAGGTTTCTGTGTTGTTTAGGAACAAAATGAGTTCTCTCTGAATTTGGCTTAAAATGGAAATGATAGCATCTAACTAGACTTCAGGGCTTTGGGGTGGGTAGTGGGACACAGAACAAAACATGAAGCACATTTAAGGCACACAGAATATTCCCTGCTCTCAAAAGTTCACATAACATAAGTACTTGGGGGAGAGATTCTTTGCTGGGTGACTAGAGAAATGCAAGGTGAGCACGTTCAGACGCCAGCAGCGCAGACGTTTTTTAAATGGTCGGTCTGCATGCCGATTTTCCTTCCTGCTGTTTTTCTTTTTCTTTTTTGGTTTCTTGTCAACTGCTTTCTGCCATCTGACGGCAGCCACACAGTGTTCTGAAGGTCACTTCAGAAATAGTCATTCTGGGAGGCCGAGAGGACTGTGCTTTCCGAAGTCCCTTGGAAGGGACACTGTGGATGCTTTTGTCGCAGCAGGGTGGGTTGCACTCTGGAGTCAGCCACAGTGGGCTCTGCCCCAGCCAGCTCAGCCTGGCAGGCAGCCATGGGATGAGGGTGCAGCTGTGCTGTGTCGCTGTCCTCAGCACCTTCTTCCCTAGGGACAGACCCCCTCTATCCCGGAATCCACGTCTCCATGATCTTCCCAATCTTTGAATGATTTGATTGTTAAGATGACTTCCTTTTGCCAACAATTGAGGTGAGATGCTCTGATATGATTGGAGGCTGCCTCTTGTCCCCAGGAAATGCTCTCAGGCGTGGTGGTCGTCTCTAGTAAGGATTCCGTCCAGCACCAGGGAGTGTCTTTGACCATGGAAGGAACCGTGAACCTCCAGCTCAGTGCCAAAAGTGTGGGAGTGTTCGAAGCATTTTACAATTCTGTTAAGGTAAGAATGCTTAACTCGGGCTTCGAAAGTTTATGGTATGTTTCACTTGCCCTCTGCCTTTATTGGTGCATTGGTTGTTACTTGCAAGGGGGGGGGGGGGTGGTCACCCCCCTTGCAGTACTTACCAATCAACCCCAAAGCATGAAAGCATTTAGATATTTTGTTTCTAAAATTATCCCCTTATGCAAAGTATGCTTGCATTTGTCCCTACTCCGTACATAGGGTTAGGATAACTATGCATGGACTGTCTTCAGCCATTAGAGAGATTGGAGCTCCTCTGAGAAGGTGCCTGTGGCCCATGGCCACCCTTGCCTTCCTCCTTCAGCACTGACTTCCCAGCTGTGCATGTTGCTCCTGTTGGGTCTGACATCCAAGTTAGAGGCAGACGGAGCAAGTGGCAGTTCTCCTTGTCACTTAGGGAAGAGTTTTGTGTTCCAGAATGTGAACTTGTTTTCTAGACTTATAGTTTCCCTTTCTTGAAGGCCACATTAACTCTAATGTAGGAAGAAGAGTGAATAGGGAAGGGGGTGCTACATGGGGGTCCGACGTAGGAGTTTCCCATTTTTTTGCCCAGTTCTCTTCTTTTAAGTCACTATTGTTTAGTGATTCCCTTCCTAAGTCCTCAGTTTTCTGAGGGTACTGCTAAACCAAAGCACAGGAAGCGAGTCCCTGCAGTCAGCGCTGCCTTCCTCCTGGGAGGCTAGAGAGAAGTCGTGTGCAGGTAACCAGGGCTGGAAGAGGCTGCTCCACTCACCAGCTGCTGCGCCGGGCTCCAAAGGCCAGAGGGCCACGGGAACTGGAGCAGCGTGACCCGAGAGGACACAGCCTGATGAGGAGGAGCCGTGGGTCACATGTGCCCCATGGCCAGGCAGCTTCACTGTGCTGTGCCCCCTCTGCATCCTGCACATAACGATTGTGAGGACAGCTGATGAGAGATTTGGGCAGAAGAGGGGAACATGTGGGCTCAGTTCCTGTTGTGTGCCAAGCCCCTCAACGTCTGATGTTGTAACAAAACTGAAATTTTTATTAAATAAGAATTATCCATGGAAGAGACAAAAAAAAAAAAAAAAAAAGAACAGACTCCTTGTTCATCTCCAGACCCAGCAGTGTCCAGGAGCTCAGGGTGCTGTATTTTAAGATGATTACCAGACGGCTCTGATTGGAGGGGACATCTGACTTTGTTTGCAGCCGATCCAGATTATCAACAGCACCATAGAAATGGTGAAGCCAGGAAAGTTTCCCAGTGGCAAAACAGAAATTCCTTTTGAATTTCCTCTCTACGTGAAGGGTAACAAAGTCCTGCACGAGACCTACCATGGTGTGTTTGTCAACATTCAGGTGAGTTCCCGAATCCCATGCAGTTGATTTCAGAATTTTTCTGCTGAAAATCGGCTTGGTCGTTTATACTGAAAGTTGATAAATGGATCCAAGAATTTCATACTGGACTTATTGCTGAGTCCTTGCATGGATATTCTGACAATTCAGTCATTTCCCCTGGCTAACTACATTTCATGTGTGACCATTATTTTTGACAGGACCCAAGCCATAACTTCTTTCTTAAAATTCCTTTGTTTCCTGAGCATTCTTTTGAGGCAGCACCAACCTCTGTCACTTTTATTGTTGGGTGACAGAGATGCCCTCTCTTCTCTCTGGCACCAGCATTAATTGTCTGTTTTACTCTTATAAAGATCCCTCTGTTTAGTCCCCAAGGCTGCTTCTTTAGCACAATCACACGTTCTTCATTGAGCAAACCTTGTCAACGAGGGGAAGTGAGTTTGTGACTTCCGTCCACCTCTGCTGGTGACGGGTGGCTTTCACAGTTCTATTGTTGTCTCCAGAGTGGACCAGTGGTGACTCCAGGCGAGAGGAAGAGCCTTTCCTTCTTCAGTAGGAAGAAAGGGACTTTGCTCTGTGCCTTGCAGCAGTCTCTCCCTAGAAGTCAAAAAAGTCTGCAGTCTCGCCCAGGCACAAAAGGGTTGAAAGTTAGGAATGTGTTTGATTTTTTAAGTTTAGCTGATAATTTGGGCTTGGTAGATACCACTGCCCTGCTTAAAACATACCAGTTAAAACAAATCCTCCCAGCACTTGGGAGGGTGTAACCAATCGTTGGTCTGCATGTGTTTCTGAGCTGCCTGAGGTCTGTCAAGAAGAAACATATGCAGGACAATGACTCCATCTTGCTGTGAAGGAAAAACATGTCTGTGGTTCTTTATGGTTAGTGCACATGCTTCAGGCAGCACATACATCTCTAGCCACAGGCTTGGGGTGACCTCAGGAGTAGCAGCAGTGATGGGGTCCAGTTCAGAGACAGCCGCTGGGGTGCATGCACATACCAGCTGCTGGTCCCCAGACCTGAGCTCCAAACAGCTTTCTAGGCTGGGAGTGTTTCCACCATGAAAGAAAGTGAGTGAAAATGTAAGGAGACTGGAAATATCTCGAGTGTTTCATGTTGAAAACTGCTTTTATTCTGAATCCAGAGTCACTATCCACTGGCTTGTAGTTCTCTCAGTGTTGATGTAATGCTCTAAGGCTATGTTATGTCCATTAGAAACTAAGTGGAATGAGATCAGGTTTTTACTGGTTATACTTGTTATTCTGTCCTTTATCATTATTTATTAAAAAGTTAACTTGTTTAAACTTGAATCAGAAATCTCACTCTTTTCCAAAGGTTGCCAAGAAAGACATACAGGTGTACACACAAGAGTTGTGCTGTGTCCCTGCTCAGAGTGTGAAAACCAGAAGGTGCTTAAAATGCAGCAGGGGAGGGCTGGGGCTGGGGCTCAGTGGTAGAGCGCTCATCTAGCATGTGCGAGGCACTGGGTTTGATTCTCAGCACCACATATAAATAAATTAATTAGTTAAGTAAAGGTCCATCGGCAACTAAAAAATTATTTTAGAAAAATGCAGCAGGGGAGTTAGCAGGTGGTAAATTTCCTAGGAAAGAAATCATTGCCCCTACCCACCTCTTTATTTTGGTCCTCAGATTTGACAATTTGAGGATTAACATCAGAATGCTGTAATTGGGAATTGGGTAAGTCTCCAAATATCTCACAAATTCTAAAGATGAGATTTCTTCTTAGTTTAACTTTGCATTTATTAAGCTTATCACGCTTACCCTATCGTGCTCAGCATTTATTGGTACTTGGCCATCCTCTATTCTGCAGAACTTGGGGCCCTGTGTGCTAGGCAGGCGCTCTGCCGCTCAGCGGCACCCAGCCCTGCTCTCATTTTTTTCCATATGTGTTTATTTTTTCTGAATCATTTCAAAGTTAAGATTCTTGACACACTTCATGTCAAAATACCTCAATGTCCATCTCTGAAAAAATAGGCCATCTCCTACAAGATCATAGGTAACATTTTCATTCTTATCAAAATGAACATAAATCCTCGAGTGTCATCTAATTCCCATTCTATATTCACATTTGGTGTTCTTCTGAACAAATCTGCCTAAGAGAAGGTAGGATCATGGCTCTTTGTTCTATTCCATTCTTTTGATTTAAGGACTTGACAGTTTTTCTCTAGTCTTCTTGTCTAGCGGTAGAGTAAGTGCCACCTAGAGAGGACAGCGACTTCCTGGGGCCACATGGCCAACCTGGCACAGGGGTCCACAGGCCATCACCCCTTCCCATTGCTCACTGGGCTCACTCTGAATATTGACTTAGGCACATTGCTTGGATAAAAGTTTTATTGTTAAGCCTTAATATCACCTTTCTCATACAGACATAAAGTTTTCATTTATAATTTGAACTGCATTGTGGTTACATAATGTAAAAATTACTAGACAATAAAGGGTTTAGAATGCGGCCCAAATTAAACCCCCAGCTCCCTGGGCGCTCTGGCCATTGGTGCTGCCTCTCGGGGAGGCCCGGTGCTTGCCCTGCTCTTCTCAATTTGTTGTTGTTTTTTTTTGAATTTTTAATATTTATTTTTTAGTTTTTGGCGGACACAACATCTTTGTTTGTATGTGGTACTGAGGATCGAAACTGGGCCGCACGCATGCCAGGCGAGCGCGCTACCGCTTGAGTCACATCCCCAGCCCCATGCTCTTCTCAGGTTGGCTCCGTTGAAGTGCCCCTCCGTTTTCAGGCACTGCGTGTGAGAGTCCATGAGTCTTTCCAGTTGCACTTTGTGCAAATGCCTTTTCATTTTAAAATTATTTAAATCATAGTTAAGTTTCATTATGTATATTCCCCTCTTATGGACAAACTGTCAGGATTGTATACTGTAGCACAGACTGTACCAGCCCTGCCAAGTCTGCTGATGTGGCACATTCGGGGTTAATTTACAGAGATTCTAGCCCTCCTTAAAACATTAAAAACACCCTTTACGGGAGTCTACTTTAAAACTGTTGACCGGCATCTTTCTGTATTGCTGTTGGTGTCCTGTTTACCAATAATCAGAGAAGACAATCTTGCACCTCCTTTCATTGTGTTATTGAGGTTTTTGTCCTGGAGCCCTCTGACTTCCCGTAGCTCATAACCACATGGATGAGCTAGCACCTGGGAAAGATCGTGGTCAGATGAGGTCCGGGCTTCCCAGGAGAGGGATGGCCTCGGTGTTGTGGGAGGATTCAGTGTGGACTTTGGCTGTAGGTGGGAGTGAATTCAAACCCCACCTTTGTGACCCCCCAGTGCCCTCCCTGATCTTGCTTCTAGGGGATTAATGAGGGAATGATGAAGAGTTGGGCACTGGGCCTGGCACATAATGTGCTCTGTGAGTGTTTGCTGAGTGATGGATACATGAGTTAATGACTATCCCTACACGTACCCTGTAGTTCTTGTATTAATATTGTTAGGACCCATCAGGACAGGGCATGCAGAAGAACTTGACACCTCTCCTAGAACAAACATTGATTTTCCTCTTTACTTTCTCCCCTCTCCAAGTGATCACTAGCTGCCCTAAATTACTAATTAATGCTTTCACACTTAAATAGCGGCCAAAGTTGATGCCTGTAATTCACACCCTTCCATTCACAAGTTACAGAGATCCAACTCAAATTAACTTAGGCACAAAAGAGACATTGGATCGTAGAAGCAGCAGTTCCAAAGGAACAGTGTGTCCAGGTTGGAAACCAGGGCTCCAGCCCTTTCTTAGCCAGCCTTCTGCTGTGCCAGCTTTGGCCTCAAGCAGGCTCTTCCCCTGTCATGGCAAGGTGGGCTGCCGATAGGTGCTGCAGCTTGCAATCTACTAGACTGGCAGTTTCAGCAGAGGAGAATTCTTTCCTGTAGTCTCTGAAGAGGTTTGGCCTACTGCTCACTCTGTCCCCAGGTAGGGAGATAGTGGAAGGCATCTAGCCCAAATCCAAGACTGAGATAGAGGGAGGGGAAGTTGGCAGTAGGAAAAGAATCAGAGTCCAGGCCAGCCAGAATGAAGTGTGGCTCGTGCCTGACAGTGAATGGGATGTACAGCAGTAGAACAGTTTCCAGTTCTGGGCACGTGCTCACACACACTCACACCTGAACACGCTACCAGCCCTCACTAAACTTGTCTGGCTGGGAGATTAGATTGAAATCTTGTTAAAGAAGATATGCATATTTGCATACATATATATTATGATCATTGCAGACAAGGGATGATTCTTATAAAAAATGTTCTAATCTCCCATAGTATGTTAGATATATAAGAACTTATTTCATGCAAGATTCACAACTATGCATATGGTCCTAGGTATGAAAATTATTTTTTATGTAACTCTAAAATTTTTCCTGGATGATTAAGCAGCAGCTAGCTTTATTAAACATAAGTTGTAGGATTTGGGGGTATGTTGGGGACAAACTTTGGGTATTGCCCAAGCTCTACCACTGAGCTGCACCCTAGCCCCCTGGTTTTGTTTTAAAGACTAGCAAAAAGAAGGTAATCATATCATGGAATTTTGTTTCCAGGCTGCTCCAGGTTCATGGACAGGGACATGAGGTTGCTGTCTCAGTCCCAAGCTGGCTTCAAGCTCAGTGACCAGCCCTGTTATGTACTCTGTCTGGGGAGGACAAGCCCCCTTTGCAGTAAGTAGCCAGCAGTGGCCAGCTCAGAAAACCAGCCAGGGACTGCAGAGAAGCCAGCGGCCAGGTTCAGAGCTGGTGTGCGGCGGCCGCATTTCTTTGCCACGGCTCTGTCCCTCACCCGCAGCCGCCATCTGCTGTGGCCATGGTGAAGTCAGATGGTCCTGAGCTGGCCACGAGTGAGCTGGCTTGTGGATACATAGGGCTTCCCTAACTCCTCCCTTTACTTCTGTATGGATTAGAAGTGTTTCAAAATAAAAATGTTAAAAATACTTCCCCTTCTTTATTCCTCCTTAAGATCAAGATGTGAAGAGCTAATTTTTAGGATCCCTGAGGTCCTGGATCTTTACTTCTGCCTTTACTTCTCTTTAGTCAACTAGAAGCCCCCTACGGGTGTGACAGGTGTGAACTGTGAACTTGGCTCTGGTGCCTCACACACTCTGCAGTGTGAGGGAAGAGCTGTGGGCTGGGAGGTGCCGGGTGCTGCTCCGGGTATTTCTGGTGTTTTCTACTAGATGTCACTTTGTGCTGGGCCTGGCACTCAGTGCTTGCCATGTGTGAGCTAGTTGATGCTCACTGCAGGTGGGTATTGATACCCCTATTTTATGGAGGGGCGAGTGGAAGCCCAGAGAAGTTGTTATGTGTCTGGGCTCACACAGCGCGGTGGACAGCTGCACTGGGACAGCTCCACTCCTCTGCCATTGCTCTTCTGTCCTCCTGCTCTGGTCTTCGCCCAGGTTGTAGGTAAGGAGACCGTGTGTGCTTTCCAGGGGCCCAGCCTCAGAACGACTGTGGGAACAGGCTGAGGAATAACCTTGAAGTGATTTTACTTGTTCTTTGTTTTTGCCTTTATTTGAACATTAACTTCCCCCGTTATGTGTATTACTTTATGAAACAGGTTCATTGGACAAAGTTTCCCTAAAATATGTCACTTCCTTTACCCCTTGAATATCATGCCAAGACGAGCGCAAAGCCCACTAACACTCTGTTCTCTCTGACTTTTCCTTCTAGTACACGCTGCGCTGTGACATGAGGCGGTCTCTGCTGGCCAAAGACTTGACAAAGACCTGTGAATTCATTGTTCACTCTGCTGTAAGCTTTCCTCGGGTCTGCATTGCACCCTGTGCACAAGCGATAAGTTAACTACTTAGTCTAAGACAGGAGATGCCTGGTCAGAGGTGGCCCGTGGCATAAGCACCTCACCCTCACAGTGCAGTTTTTTTCCTTGGTCATGCAGAATCAGCAGTGACCATCAGTGCCTATACTCACTGTGACACATGGTGACAGACTTGTGCTCACTCTGCACTCTCTCGGGCTTTGCTAGTGCTGTCTCATATAGAAGTGGCCATGCCTCCTCCCTCCCTGGTCTGTGCCCTGCTCAGACCTCTGGAATTTTGTTTGAAGCTGGAAAGCCCTTTCCATAGCTCTAGTCAGGCTGGGGCTGGCGGGGCAGTGCTCGGGAGCCATAGCTCCCCAGGCTGCAGCTCCCAGGGCTACTTTGGTGTGGAGCAGAAGCCTGCACACACTCCACAGTCCCTGCCACACACCTTAACCAATGGGGCCACCACAGAGTGTCAGGCTAGTCAGCTTGGTTTTGTAGAAAATTTGGGCTTGCATTTCTGTTACACTATTATGAAATGTCTGTGGTTTGGGTTTTTTTTTTGGCGGGGGTGGGGGTACCAGGGATTGAATCCAGGGGCACTCGACCACTGAGCCACATCCCCAGCTCTATTTTTTGTATTTTATTTAGAGACAGGGTCTCACTGAGTTGCTTATTAGCACCTCGCTTTTGCTGAGGTTGGCTTTCAAATCAAGATTCTCCTGCCTCAGGCCCCCAAGCCACCGGGATTACAGGCATGTGCCACTGCACCAAGCTATGGAATCTTTTAAGTAGTAAATAAAAACACAAGACCTAAATCTGCTGTGTGTGAGATTGGCAAAATCACAGATGTCCTCTGTTCACCTACATTCTTTTTGTCATTTTTTTAGAGCTTTTGTAGTTTCCCTTTCCTGTTAAATTTTTAATACTCACAGTGCTTAAGAGTCTCTTTCAGTGATAAACTATGTTGTATACATTTGTTACATTTGTATAAAACACTTTTAAAATGTTTCCCTTTTTTTTGGAAGTTACTTGGTTTAGATGGCTATTTCTCTTTTTTCCATCACCAGTCTTAAAATTGAAGCAAGACAAAATTTTTATGTGGATTACCCTCCCCGAAAGAGTCTTCTATGTCCTTGATAAAAAGTCTCAAGTTTTGTGAAGAATGAACCAAGTGGCTCCTTGCCCAGGGCCAGCCCCCAGGTTATGCCTCCCCAAGTCCCCAGACTGAGACCACCGAGCCCTTTTTGGTGGCATGCTCTGTCTGGGTAGCAGTGAGTACTTCCAGGCCGTCTGTCACCACGTGGCCTTCAAGTGTCATGTCTTTTGGGTGAATGGTTTCAGAAGAAGGCCAAAGCATACTGTGGTCTATAGTTTATAAGGTCAATGTTTCTTTAAATGCTGCAAAGAAGAGTATTTTCACTAAAGAATACTCATGAACCTGTTAAGTTAAAGAGTGTATTCAAGAAGAATATTCATTGTCATGAACTCATGGTGAGTGAGTGACCTTGGCCTTGCTCAGTGCCTGGCCCCACCCTGCTGCCTGGGTCCTGCTGACCTGCCCTTCCTCTGCCCACTCCCTGGGTCTTGCTGGCCTTTTGGATCCTGGCTCCTGGTAGAAGCCCATGGCGAGCGTGGTTGCAGCATGGCTGTGTGGATGGATTCTTGGAGAATGTAATGTGGAGATGATCCCTGTTAGTTGATGTGGGTGGCATCACGGTTCATTTTATAGGTCTGATTCTTCCAGGTAATGGCTGTGTAGCTCCGAGGCTGACAGCACTGGCCCAGGTGCCTCATTCCACCACCACTCACAGCTCTACAGGCAGCCAGCAGGGCACCGACCTCCGAGCCTCACTTTCCCATGTATGATGTAACCATCTGGGAGGAGTGGACAGCCTCATGAGACTCAGCACGCAGTAGACCCTCTAGTGTTAGCTCTCCTTCTCAGAGAAGGGTTTAAGATGATACTTCCCAGAATACTGCTTTGCTTTATAGATGTAATTCTAACATTCTGAACCCATAAAGCGCCTTGGAGATTTCGACACCCTTCTCATATTACAGATGAAAAGATGAGTCCTCACACGGGGTGGGGCGGAGGAATTTGACAAAGAGCACAGCCGTGTTTTTTGCAGAGCTGTGTTTGTGTTTGGAAGCCAAGTCTTTTCCTTAGTACCAAGTCCCTCCTGGTTTTTTAAAGAGGGCAACACCTTTGGGCCTGCAGAGCTCTTCAGCCCTGGTCCTCAGCCTGCTGACTGCAGTTCTACCTCCCATTCCAGCCTCAGAAGGGGACATTGACTCCAAGCCCTGTGGACTTCACCATCACCCCAGAAACTTTACAGAACGTCAAAGAGGTAACCGGTTCCTCTCATTCCACTCAGATGCCATGGGTTTTCCTAGTGACCAGACCCCATGACCAACTGTTCTTTAGCTGGGAACTGAGCCATGGTGAGAGGATTCCTGATTGTTTCTGTACACTAATTATTTGGTACTTTCAGTTTGATCTCATGTTGAACTCAGCTTAGGAGAAGAATGTGGTTTAAAAGTTCCTTGTCTGTTTGTGGTTTTGCTTGCTTTTTGAGATGGAGTCCTCTGTGTTGCCCATGCTGGCCTCAAACCTCTGAGCTCAAGTGATCCTCCTGCCCCAGTCCCCTGAGCAGCTGGGCCTATGGTGCCCAGCTTGCTTTTATATATATATATATATATATATATATATATATATATATATATATATATTTCTTTTTTTTAGTTGGATATAATACCTTTATTTTATTTATTTTTATGTGGTGCTGAGGATCAAACCCAGGGCCTCACGTGCTAGGCGAGTGCTCTACCGCTGAGCCACAAGCCCACCCCCAGCTTGCTTTTGACCGTGGGTAGTCATCTCAGTCTTGCTGCACCGCGAGCCCCAAACCCCCTACTCCTTCATTTCTCAGGTTAGCCGAGGTCTGCCTGCCCATGGCCTCTGGTCAGCCTCTGTTGATATTTATTTGGTAGTTTCTCCCAGCAGCATTCCCGGCAGGCAGAGAATAGGAGGCAAGTGCTTTTCAAAGATTCCAGCAGTCTCCCCACACCAGGGCGTTTACCCCGGGACACACAGAAGTCAGGGCAGCAGCCCAGCCGACCCTGCAGGGCTGCACTCACAGACAGCAGCTCTCGGCCATCTGCCTCGGCCTGCGTGGACCAGCACTCATCCGCTGCTGCCAATTTTCCTCAGTTTTTTTTTTTCTTTTTTTTTTAAGATATCTGTTTCTTGAGGAAGTAGGGAATTCCTACAGCTCCTTCTGGACAGAACTTTCTTCTTGACTAGTTCTTCATTTTACTCACTGGAAAATACAGATTAGAACTGGGTTGAGGGAAAGTTTGGGATGACCTCATCCCCGGGGAGGTATAAATGAGGCAAGTGGTATGTCATGGGTTTCAGAACCTTCTGGAAGGTTCACAACTCCTCTGCCATTTTCCATGGCTCCTTCTCCTTAGAGAATGGAGCATGTGGCTCAGGAGGCCATTCAGGTTCCTGTGCCCCAGCTCGGCAGCGTGGTCCCTCTCTAGGCCCCTGTCCTCCTGGGCAGCCCCTTCAGTGCTCACGCTGCACCTCCCTCTCTCGTGGCTCCTCTGTGTGTGGAGCAGATTCCTCTTTTTCTTGCTCTTATTCTCCGGAATTCATTGGTTCTTGGTTGCCAATTTACGAGTGAGGACCTGGTAAGTGGCTTGGTTAAGGAGACTCTGCCCCCACCTGAGTGAGCATCAGGCTCCCCAGGAGAAGTGCACACTGAGTTTGCACTGAGGGTCACACGGGGAGTGGGAGGTGTGTGCAGGCAGCCTGTCCTCTGGGTGTTGAGCTCGCTGACCTACACTGTGGCCTTAAATGACTTGGGACACTGCCCTGTCCTGTCCTGATCTGCCCTCAGAGTCTTCTAAGTAGGAAGTCCCAACTCTTCACTGCTTCCCCATCCTATGATGAGTCACCTTGAGATGTCTCTTTGGCCCCCACAGTGATCACAGGCAGCCAGTGGGCACTCTTGCACGCTGCCTTCTCCGCCAACTGGAGGTCTGTGGTGCCTGCACTCTTTTTTTTTTTTAAATTATTATTATTTTTTTTTAAAGAGAGAGGGGGAGAGAGAGAGAGAGAGAGAGAGAATTTTTAATATTTATTTATTTTTTTTAGTTATCAGCGGACACAACATCTTTGTTTGTATGTGGTGCTGAGGATCGAACCCAGGCCGCACACATGCCAGGCGAGCGCGCTACCACTTGAGCCACATCCCCAGCCCCGGTGCCTGCACTCTTGCAGTGTCCTGGGCAATCACTTGTTCTTTTTGTGTTTGTTTTTTTGTGATGCTGGGGACAGACCTGGGGCCTCACTGCAGTTCAGCAAGCCTCCCCAATGAGCTGCACCCCAACCCCCATAATCCACTTTTTATCTGACGGAAATGCTTCACTGGGTGGAGTCCAGGGGGTGTTCCTCGCAGCTTGACTAGTATAAGGTTCTTTGGTTTTTATTTATAAATGAAAAAGAACGTCTTTCATTATGACAGAAACATTTATGTTTGTTGTTAGAAAATAACATAAATCAAAATAAAATTGCTTATTTATAAAATACCATGGTGGGGTGCTGGGGCTGTAGCTCAGTGGGAGAGCACTGGCCAAGCATGCGTGAGACACCTGGTTAGATCCTCAGCACCACATAAAAATAAACAAACAAAATGAAGGCATTCTGTCCATCTACAACTACAAAAAGAATTTTTAAAAATACCATGGTGGGTTTTGTTTGCTGTTTTTTAAGTAGAAAAGGGATTTATTGGAAGGATAAGGTGGCTCACAGATACTACAGGAAGGCTGGAGATCAGACTCAGAAAATAGTGCAAATTGATTTTTGTTTGCAGATGGTAATGTCACCACCGGGAGGATGGAAAAGAGTGTTTTGAGGTGGACATAGAAAGCTTTTCCTATTTCATCAGTTGCCTTAAAGAATTTTAATGTGAACTGTTACTGCTTTTTTATTTTTCCAAACAAATGTTTTGTTTTTTGTTTTTTTTTTTTTTTTTTTGTGTAGTTTTTTTTAAAAATCTGTCTTCAACCAAGACATTTTTAGAGGCTGTATCTTTGGGAACCATCAGGTAGAGAGCTCCCTGCTCTTCAGTTTGAGATAAGTGCTGGTCAGTTGGTGGCCCCCCGCCCCTGTGACCATTGCCACTTCTGATGGCTGGTCTGAGTTTAGATGAGCAGAAGTTGAAAATACTGGCCTAGTTTTAAAGACTCAGTATGAAAAAGAGAATGTAAAATATCATAGATAAATTTTTATATTGATTATATGTGGAAATGATAACATTTTGGAAATATTGGTTAATTTCTTTTGTTTTTGCCTTTTTAATGTGGCTACTAGAAAATTTTAAGTAACATAATGTAGCTAATTACAAATTTTATTTGTAATTAATTATAAATTAGTTACAAATAAAATTACAGTGTAATTTTATTTATTTACTTTTAAAAGTTTTTTTTGGTACTGGGGAATGAACCCAGGGGTGTGCCTGAGCTACATCACCAGCTATTTTTTTTTTTTTTTAATTTTATTTTGAGACAGGGTCTCACAAAGTTGCTGAGCCTGGCCTCCGACTTACAAACCTCTTGCCTCAGCCTCCAGAGCACTGGGATTGTAGGAGTATGCCACCACACCTGGCTACACATGTGATTTTAAATGACATTTGTGACTTTGTTGAATTTCTACGGGACAGTGGTGTACTAAACTCTGAAATGCTCTCAGTGACTGGGACATGGCAGAGGTGCAGATGCCAGGAATAGCTGTCTCACTCTCTAGACTGTTTCCCACAAGACCATCCCTCGTGACCATCCCTCGCTCTCAGCCAGCTTTCTGTTTATAGAGAAAAGAGCCGAAGTGTTTGTCCGGCCTTAAGGAGGACACCTTTTTTTTTTTTTTTTAATATTTTTTTAGTTATACATGGGCACAATAACTTTATTTTGTTTATTTTTATGTGGTGCTGAGGATCGAAGCCAGGGTCTCACACATGCGAGGCGGGCGCTCTACTGCTGAGCCCCAGCCCCAGCCCCAGCCCCAGCCCAGCAGCTTTCTTAATATGCACAAAGTCCTGAATTCAGTCCTCAGTACTGCAAAATAATTTGCAGTGAAAAAAACCAAATTCCTTGAAATAAAATAAATGTCTTAGCTTTTCGAAAATTGCCATATAGGGAACAATTTAAAGTTGATTCTTTCCCCTTTTTTTTTTTTTTTTTGGTGACTGGATGCCCTTTGCCAACTTCCTGAGACCTTGTATGTCTTACTGGCTGAGACAGGAGACTTCTGGATCTGAGTGGAGGCCGGCCTGGGTGGAGCCCTCGGGTCCTTCTGTATAGTCCATCAGGTGCTCAGGTGCCGTGTGCACATGTGCAGCTGTGGAATGAACCCGTCTCCTGCTGCGCAGGCTGATGGGTGATGTGGTTGTGTTGCTCCTGTCTTCCCGTTTCCTAAAACAGGACTCCGTGCACCCTGTACCAGTAACTCAGCTTTGTTTTCAGGATTTACACCAAAGTAGCTATCTAGTAATTTTGGCTTTTCCCTTACACTCCTGATATATTTGTTTTTGTTTGTTTTAGAGAGCTTTGCTCCCCAAATTCCTCATTAGAGGACATCTCAACTCAACCAACTGTGTTATCACACAGCCACTGACAGGAGAGCTGGTAGTGGAGCACTCGGACGCTGCCATCCGCAGCATAGAGCTGCAGCTGGTCCGCGTGGAGACCTGTGGTAAGGCCCTGCTGGTTGCAACCGCCCAGCCTCTGCCTGCTGCTCTAGAGATGATGTGGGTGGAGGCAAAATAAGATCTAGTCTCTTTTTGCCATAAATGTGTCTTAGTTTGTTCTCTGTTGCTATAACAAAATACCCGAGACCATGCAGTTTATAAGGAATAGAGAGGCTAATTTGGTTCATGTTCTTGGTACATGATGCCAACATCTGTTGAAGGCCTTCTTGCTACATCCTATCAAGGAGGAGGGCATTCAATGGTGAGAAAGACCAAGTATACCAAAGATAACTCACTTCTATAACACAGCCATTCCCTCAACAGCCCACTCAGCACAGCTACCTCCTAAAGGCCCCACCTCCAACTACCACTGACCTGTTAATTTGGGACATTAAGTTGCTCACCTAACCATTGCAGAGTGTTTGAGGAAAGTGAAATATGGAAGGTGTACCTCTAGGATTCTGCAGAACTGGAGAAGTGGGCCAGTGTGTTGATACAGGTTGGCAGTGTTGATGGGGACTGGTGATCTGCTGTTTCCTCTGTTTCCAGGGTGTGCAGAAGGCTATGCACGTGATGCCACAGAGATCCAGAACATTCAGATTGCCGATGGGGACGTCTGCAGGGGCCTCTCTGTCCCTATACACATGGTATTTCCCAGGCTCTTCACCTGCCCCACGCTGGAGACCACCAACTTCAAAGTGGGCAAGTAGCGCTCCCTCAGCCCCGCTGGGCCGGGTTCTGGGAAGGTGTGGGCCACTCAGGTTGTGCAGCTCAGACACTCAGGCCTTGTCCCTCAGCCAGACCTCACTGCTGTGCCAGCCTGGGGAATAGCAGTGGGTAGCCACGTTTCTGCAGACTAGGGCAGGTGACTCTAAGCTCTGTGAGGGACAGGCAGGCAGAAGGAGTAGTGTGGAAGGGACGTCAAGGTCAGTTCCTCTGCTAGGGCCAGGTGGGAACAGTGACGCTCCTGGGATGAATGTCAGTCATCAGGAGGCCCCTGGGCATTTTCCCTGAATCCGTGTGTGAATGTTTGACCACCAATCCGAATCATGTCCCAGCTAGTGTTCTATCCCACTTTTTTTCCTTTAACATATCATGAACATTTCGGTGGGTTTAAGTCTTTTTACCAAATGTTTTTTGGTTTTGAGGGTCCTTTTTTTTGTTTTGGAGACAGGGTCTTGCCATGTTACCCAGCCTGGCCTTGAAATTTGGGTTCAAGTGATCCTCTTGCCTTAGCCTCCCAAGTTGCTGGGACCATAGGTGTGTCTGCCTGTCCTACTAGATATTTTAATGACATGTCCCTCCTGTTAAGAATCGTCATGCTGATAAGATTCATTTGGGAGGTCACCCACTCTAAAGAGGTAGACACAGCATAGGAGAGTCTGCGAGTGACTTCAGCACTTCCTGGCACAACTTTGCAGATGGTTGAAAATACCTCAGAAAGAGTTCCCTGGGCTTTCCCGGAACACTTCTGAGCCTTGCCTGAGGCTCGCTGACAAACATGTATGACAAGGGGATTTTGGTGATGGCTTTTGCTGTTATTCTGCTCTATTGAGAAGTGGGAACTTTTCCCCAAGACCAGTATGTTTGTGTTAATGTCACATCCCCGAGTCACTGTGCATTATTATTAGTCCATGAGGAACTTTAAAAATTATACCGTGAGTTTAAATTATAACTTAATTCAAAACATAAGTCCGTGTAGCTTCCTCACCAAGCTTGTATTACCAGAGGGAAGGTTGGTGGCACCTGCCACAGTGTCACTGAGCACTACTTGCATTTTCTTTGCATGTGCTGTGGACGTGAGCCCTAGAGCAGGGCTGGCCAGTGCAGGTGGAAGCACAGTTTAGTATTTGTAGAATTCTGGGTCCTTCTGTGAGATGTCACATTATAGTGAGAGCCTGTTAGGGTCAGGACACAGGGTCAGTCTACTGTCCCCAGGACGCATGGGCAGCAGAGTCTGGAGAAAGGCCTTGCGCAGGTCAGACTTGACCCATGCAAAGGCCCTATGGCTGACTACGAAAGCACACTTGTGATGGTTGTCGATTAGATGGCCCTGCCCGTGGCACAACATCCACAGGTGCCCAAGCCAGAGGGGCAGGCGGCGGCCCCTCCCCCACAGCCCCATTTCCACACTCAGAGGCGGCCTCTCTCCCAGACCCCTGGTGTCCTCCTGGAGGACAGTGTCAGGCAGGTTTTCCTTTTATACTCTGTGGCACCGTGCATGTTATTCCAAAGAATGTTTTCTACTTCAGAATACCTCAAATTTAAATTGAGGAAGATCTTGAATGTTGAATTCTTGGCTTGGTTTTCCTAAATAAACTGCAGAAAAGTACAAAAATTGTTTTTTTTCTGCTGTGCTTTATATTAAGTGCCTAATTTTTTTTTTTTTTTTAGATTCACTAGAATTTTCAGAGGAAGCAAATCCAGGAAACTATCAATCAACACATATTAAAAATGCCTGTCCTCTAGCCAGGAGATCAGTGATTCTCTTGTCCTCAGCCTGATGCCAAGTCAGGTTTAGAACTTAAAAATGAGTAGCAGGTGGTTAGTGTGGGTCTCTGTAGAAAAGAAGTGACCTGTAACCATTGGTTAAGGAGCTGTGGCCTCACAGAAGCCCCAAGGTCCTCTTCCTGTTGGCTGTGGGAAGAGTTTGGAGCGGGGACCCTGGACCGCTTGGCCTTCATGCACCTGCCAAGCAGGTGTGGACACTGTGCAGGCATGGCCACCGGAAGCCAGGCCAATTCTCAGGGAGAGGAACAGTGATCAGAAAAGGTCCAGGAGCCTCCGGGTAGGGAGGTCAGGTGTGAGCACTGTGTCCTGCATTAAGGCAGGATCTCCACGTGTCCTCCTCTGCCTGCCAACCACAAGTGGCTGCAAATGTGAGGGTCAGGCCTGATCTGGAGGCCTGCTGGAGTGTTAGGAGCTGCAGGGGGACGGCGCTCAGAGCGTCAGGAGCTCCTGGGTGAAACGGCTGTTCTGCCAAGTGTTCTCAGTTAAAAGTGAAAGCCAGTGCCAGCCCCGAACACAGGCCCCCTGCCTGCTGGGCACCAGTCTGTGCAGCCTCACACTCCTCCCTCCCGGGGCCACAACAAGACAACTGGGGGAGTTGGAGGGATTAGTGGTGAGCAGGGCTCAGAAGACAGCCAAGAGGCCATTTCTTATAGTGTCAGTTATCAAAAGAAGGAAAGAATGCGTGCCTGACCGCTGTTGTGACTGATGACGGGAGAAGGCAGCCACCTCACGGGGGCACAGACCCCAAATGCAGAGCCGAGCTTCTGCAGGTGTGCTGCGCGCCCCCTTGGGCCAGCGCACTTCTCTGCCACACAGAGCCCTTCCTGCCCTGCTCTTGATGCCAGGGGAGGCACCCGCCTCACATGCACCCCTTCTGTGGGATCAGTCAGGCTTGTCCGTAGTAGCTACAGAGCTGGTGAAGAAAGAATCTTATTTGCTGAAAGGGGAGGGCCAAGCTTTAAACAGGCACTTCAGGCGAGTTTAGCAACGTCCAGAGGAATAACAAACAGTCATTCTTCCTGAAGCTCATCACTTGGGGACTGGAGGGGCACCCAGCCAGCTGCAGGCAACTCAGAGTTTGATAATTCCCTTAAGAATTGCAGGAAAGGTGAAAATAAAGCAAAAACAGTATCCGTTAATCAAGAGAATTCGAGGGTGTTCTGTTTGGAACAGGAGGACAGAGAGGTGAGGACTCAAGAGCCCTGTTCCCAGACAAGGCAGAGGTGTGCCCCGAGGGCCTGGGTGGCTGGAAGGCAGGGTGACGCTGCAGGGGAGACTGTGCAGGTGGCGCCGGGCCCCCTCTGTGGAGCTGCACCTCTGAGGTTGGCATTGCTCTGCCCACTACCTGTTCCTGAGCCGAGTCCCGTCCTTTCTCTCCACAGAGTTCGAGGTGAACATCGTGGTGCTGCTTCACGCCGACCACCTCATCACAGAGAACTTCCCGCTGAAGCTCTGCCGGACGTAGCCAGAGGCGGGAAAGTGGAGTGGCCAGGTGGTAGGCCAGCTCCTCCCCTGACTCGGGCCGGAGCCACGCTGGCAGCACACGTGTCTTGTGATCTGCCTTGGAAACGAATCTGGCTCCTCGAGGGCCCCCCTTCTCCCCGGTTTCCTGGGCCCTCCGCTCACGCAGGTGCTGCTCGCAGGCCCTCTGGACGCCCAGGCTCGCCTCATGGAAGATGCTCCAGGAGAACACCCGGCTCCCGTTCCTGTTCCTTTCAGTTTCAGTAAAGCACTGTGCCTGCAGTTTGGGCTTTGCTGGAAGGTGAGGTCACGCGCACAGAGGGAGCCCCTAACTTGCTAGCGGACAGACATAGCGAGGGGCTCCTGGCAGTAAAGGGTCAGCAGCCAGGTAACATCCAGAACAGCCACTAGCATGCTCGTTGCTTATGAGTTTGTGGACCCCTCCCAGGAGGATGTCCCACCTGAGTCTGTAGTTCTTTGTAACATTTCTCCATAAACTCCAAAAGCTTTAGGGAACTGGGAAAATCACTCTTGCTCTCAGGATTGGGAGGACCTGGTAGCGCTGGTTGGGGCTGGGGTCCAGGACTGGCACGAATCCCCTGCTGCCACATTCCCGGAACAAGATACAAGGCTGTGGGAGGCAAATGCAGGTGAGCTGCTCTTGTTACAGGGCAGGTTCTGAGTGGCAAGAGACCGTGCCCGGGGCAGTGGAGGCCCCACCATGGGGTAGTGCCAGGAGGACACCCTTGAGCTGATGGACTTGGCCTGCCCTAACCCACCCGAGGGCCCTGTGCTTTCAGCCAAGTGTTTTGACATGCAGCCAGTTTTTGCCTCAGCCTTGAATTATGGTTCACTGTTTTTGGCGAGTCTGTTGCAATAAATTTCTTCCTTCAAACCCTGCCATTGTTTGTTGGCCCACAATTAGCAAGACCTCAGAAATAAGCCATGCCGCTGTGCAACTGGGGCCTTCCTTGGTGGGCCCTCCTGAAGGCGTGGGGGTGCTGCACTCCCACTGTCCCCTATGTGTTTGGCGCAAAGCCAGGCCCTGCCCACGACAGCCAACACCTGAGTTCTGTTATGTCGACTACGATAGAGATGGGAGGTCCAGCGTAGAAGGAATGGCAGCCTGGCCTGGCCGAGGCCCCGCCCTGTCCTAGGACTTTACAGTGAAACTGGCGGGATTTATCCGAGTTACTGAAAGTAGGTTCCCAGAGAACACATTTCTGCTCTGTAAATCTTTTATATGCACATGAACTAAAGATTATCTGTCCTTGATGATACGTTTAAACTGAGTAGCTGGAAATAAAGAGCCTTTACTTTCTGCCATATTTCTAAGGAATAAATCATTTTTAATAAAAAAGCTAAAAGACAATTTTAAGAAGAGGCTTGGGGTGCACCTTGCTGTATAATTCTTCAGTAAACTGAGACAATCATGATGAGTGCTATAAGGAAAGTCATCACCTGAAGAGCCGCCCGCCCGCCGTCCAGCTACCTTGAGGGTTCCATTCAGGCCTGGGCAGCTGAGTGAGCACCCCAGCTGCCGTTCCCCGCACTCTGGCCCTCACATCTCCATCAGAGCTTGCAGAACAGCGCAGGTGTCGGCTGTCATGGGCAGCAGCTGCTCCCTGGAGTTAGGGTGCCTCTGTCCAGGGCTCAGAGTTGTCAGAGCCTCAGTTAAACCCAGGAGGAGGAAGGGAGGGGAGATGAAGGGAAGACTGGACAGTGAGTCTAAAGCGCGCTCCTGGAAGCGCCCATGGAGGCAGGGACACATCTTGGCGCTCGCTCGGCTCTGAGATGACTCCACAGAGCCTGGTGCCAATTCTCAGCCACGTTGAGTTCAGAGCAAAGGCAGAGCCTCACCCGGGAGAGAAAGTGAAAGGAAGCCAAAGCCTGGCGCCATCCGAAAGGGCGTCCTGAACTCACCCGTCCTGGAGCCCTGGGGCCATGGAACCTTCCAGTCCATTTTGGCCCCCACCAGAATTCTCCTGTCCTAGACTGAATTGCCCTTTAATAAGTGGGGGCAGGAATTACCCCACTTGCTGATGGCGATTCCTGGGCTGCAGTAGGTTGCCCTTGACTGCCTCAGCCCCGCTGGCCCTGCCCTTCCCAGTGGAATTGTGGCCAGCTGGAAGGCACTGGCTCTTGTCACTGCTGCTCACTGTTAAGGTGGTTAAAGAGTCAGTCATGGATTTCCCAGAGAACTGCCAATCTAGCACCCAGAATAAATTGTAATGCGAATCATAATTTGCCCTTGCAGCCTGCGTTTCTGGAGCGCTGCAGCTGGCACTGCTGGGTGTGTGCTCATTGGGTTGTGCTGCCGTCTAGTGACAGTCCCCATGTCCCCTAAGCTTACAGGAGTGCCCCTCTCAGTGAGGCCAAAGCCTCTTGCCCAGGGCAACTGACAGTGTTGCTCTGCTCAAGGGAGCTCAACTGGTGGCTTCAAGTTGTGGATTTGGGGCTAACTGAGGAGCACTCGCATGAGGCGTGGTTCTTCTGGATCAGCCCTGACCCAGGCGCTGTGCGTCTACCATCTTAGTTATGGCAGCGCCCTGCAGAGAGGGAACTGTTGCCACCCCTGTTTTACAGGTAGGGGGTTTGTAGCCCAGGAGGAGGGTGACTCTGCCAGGTGCCTGTCCACACACGCCCCCCAGGAGTGTGTTGAGGGAGGCACCGTCTCCTGCACCGACACCCACCTCCCCTCCGCCCTGTGCTTGGGCTTTCCTGGGCCTTTCAGCGTGGCTGCCCCTGCGTGTGTGTGACAGTTACTAGCTGTGTCACCACACCTGCTGAGAGGAGCCAGGGACGCTGCTTCCCTTGCTTGTGGTTTTGATTGATTTAGCTGATAAAATGGAGGCAAACAAAAATGAAGTCCTGAGACCAAGGAACTCATTTGCAGCTGAAGCCAGTTAGGACTGAGGTGCGTGACTAGCGACCACAAAGTCCAAGCTAAATCATATTCTGGTGCAGACTCCTTGGCACCGAGCAGAATATCAGCACAGAAATGTTTCTCAGTCTCACAGCCCCCTAAGAGGGCTTGGTTTTTCCCACTCTGTAGCTGTGAAGGAGAAGCGAGGAAGTGCCTGAGCCACGTGGCTCAGTTGATTTCTGGTCGCTATTTTCCCCAAACCAGCCTGACTTCATGGCCAGTGAGAGAGAACTGTAGTACCCTTGCTATAGCACTGGTGTGGCCTCGTTCCTGGACGGGCAACACTACTGTTGAGGACACTGCGTAGTTTCCAGCTGATTTTCAAAAAGGCAAGAGTAAAATTATATGCAAATAAATCTATTTTCATGGTATTTATCCAAGCTCACTTATTTCTGGACTCTTATTCAGAGTAAAGATGAAAAAATTACAGAGCAAAATATTTACCAGGGAAAACACTCTGTGAAGGTAAGGACTTTTGAATACACGTGTTCTGTGGTCCTGGGCCTGTCAAAATAACCACTCTGGTTGTGGGAAATCCTGCACGTGGGTCTAAGAGACGGAGGTGAGAGTAGGTCTCCTGGGTCGGTATCTTCTCCACTCTGAAAAGCTATTTATATTTGAGACTATGGGACCAGCTAGGATGTTCGGAGAATGTGACTTTCACTAAGAAACATAAGGGCACCTAATTTATAGAAGCAAAGCTGATTATTACACTCACCCCGAATGCAGGTTATTGGAGTGTATCATCCTTTTGAGAAAGGAGGGAAAAGGCAAACAGAAATTGAAACTTGGCAAGGATCTCTGATGCACTATTATACTTTTCTGTGAATGTCTGTGGTCAAGTGGGAATGCCCTCATTCTGACTTTGTGGGTTCTGCATACTTAAACCCAGGTAGTCCCTCTGAAACCCTGCACATCAAATTTAAAAACCATACTGCAGAGATTATAAGTACTTAGAAAAGTACAAAGACACAATGTGTGCCTGTCTGCAAGATGTTGTCTGATTCTGGAGAGTACCTGCTTGATATGTGGTCACCTGTGGTCTACGCTGGTGCCTCTGTTTGTTCCCTTTACAAACATTCAGCTGAGGCTGAAGCTCAACACAGGGAGGCTTAGTGAAGAAAACTCCAGAGGAAAAAAATCACTAGAGGTAGGGTTTGCTCAGCAAGGATCCCATTAGATGGGAAGTGGTTACTTCCTTTCTCAGGAGTCACTGCCTCTCATCTAGGTCAAGGACTAGACCTTTGAAGACTAGATACAACTGCTGGGTCTTGAGGGAATAGGACCAATTTTTCTCATTTTCTGCAAATGAGAAATCAGTGATGGATCACCTGGAGAGGCTGGGCCAACAACCCAGACACACTGGTGCATAATATACCAAAAGAAGGATGTTCTCAGACAGCTGTGGAAGGATGGTAGAAAAAAAGCAAAAACCCAAAATATAGTCATTTTTGTTTTAAAAGTTTTCAACATCAATATGTATTAACCCAAATTCAAAAGCCGAATTCAAAATCCATACATAGAAGAGAGACAAGTTTATGCATATATCTTCACACCATATTCCTTTATCTCTTATAGCAAATATGTATTTTTAAATTTGTGGAAATCTTGTAAAAATCAATTATATATTCTTTTGACAAAATCTCAATAAAATTTTAATAGGAATTGCCCAAGCTGTATAGTCTACTATAGTATTATAAAATTAGAAATTTCTTCCATAAGAAAAGTCAAGTTTAATATGACTACTCATACATTTTATTACATTTTTCAAAAAGGATAAATTTAATGAAAATGAGTATACTTATAGCAGAAGCTTTGTAAAATAGCCAGTGGTGAAATCAGAGGAAAATTCATAGCCTTGAATGTTTTTATTGCACCAGAGAAAATGAAAACTAATGAGTTAGACATTCAAATCAAATAGAAAAACAAGAACAAAATAAAGAAGGAAGTAATAATGATTAAAAGCAAAAATTAACAGATATATAGGCAAAAACACTTGAAAATTTATATGTAAGTCCATGAGTTGGTACTTTGAAAAGACTCCTCCAATTGGCAAATCTTTAAATAGAACAAAACAAAGAGATAAAAACAAATATCTAATACTAAGAACAACAGAAGTTTGATTTTAAAATTATTTTATAATATGTACCTTCCCTGCTAATAAATTTATAAACCTCCATAAAATGCATAGTAACTCTAGAAAAGATAAACTACCTGCTTTGGTCACCCTTTTTTTCTGCTGTGCCCAAAAGACCTGATAAGAACAATTAGAGGAAGAAAAGTTTATGTGGGGAGGTCATGGTTTCAGAAGTCTCAGTCCACAGTTGGCTGACTCCTGTGCCTGAGGCGCTCAGGACAGAAGGGTGTGGCAGAGGAAAGAGCTCCACTCTACAAGGACAACCCAAAGGCATGTCCCCTGACCCACTGCTTCCAGCCACCCACCTGCTTTCAGTTACCACTCAGTTAATGTCTCTCAGGGGGGCGAGTCACTGATGGGGTTAAGGTTCTCAAAATCCCATCCTCTCACCTCTGAACTTGTTTGCGTTGTGTCACACATGAGCTTTGGGGGGACTCTACATATCTAAACCATAACACACCTGAGTAAATAGAATCAATTGAATAATTATCAAGGAAATAGCACTAAAAATAGATGCCAGGTCCTTGGAGACCCAGCGACTTCCAGCTCACTGTGCCACCTTTTCTATGGTGTGGCTTGTCTCGATGGCACATCTGACCTCCAGGCAGCAGAACGGGAAGGAGGAAGGGAGTGGGGTGAGGGCCACGGGCCGCCTGTCGCCCAGAAGCTGCCCTCTGTCTTGTGCCCGAACCTTACAACCAAGGACTGGCCTGGCCACACGGCGGCAGGAAAACAGCGTGTCCCCATGTGTCTGTGACCAGCTTGGAAATCAAGGTGTAGAAGAAGGGAAAACAAAACCCAGGGACCGCACACCCTCATCACTCCGCAAAACTCCTGCCCGAGGGACGAGGGAGCCGCCCCCCTTCCCCGGCCGCACCTCCCGTCCCGCCGCGGGCGACCGGAAGCTGGACTTGAAACGCCTTCCCCTCCCACAGTCCTCCGCGCCTCCCTTTCCGACTGGGGCCTGGCGGGATGGCTCCCGCCTAGAAGGGTGGCCAGAAGAAGGCGGTTCTGCCGTCCTCGAGGTCGCGACCCGGAGCGCGCCCATGGAGTGGGCTTCCAGAACGGCTCCTCGCACTGAAAGATGTCGACATCTGCCAAGAAGGAGATGGGGACTCCAGAGGTGCGCGCGACCCCAGGCGCGACAGAGCTGCTGGGCCAAAGGAATAAGGAAGGCCCCGCGTGGTGTCCGTGTGCGATTACCCAGAAAAGGTGCGAGGAGGAAGGTCACCAAACAGGCTGTGTGCTTTGGTAACCCTGTCCCCGTTACCACGGTCAGAAACCTACAGTCGCTGTGGATGACAGCTAACTGCTG